AAAAAAAATCGTTACAGTTTTTCCATAGAATTTATAAAATCAATTATACTTTGAGAATGCTGGCAAAATATTTTAGAATAATATTTGATAATAGTGGAGGATTTTGTTATAAAAAAAAAATTATTAAAAGAAGATGGGTTTTGCAAAAAATTACTTGAGATGATAGAAGATGTTTAAACATTTTATCAACGAAAACAAAATAATTAGATTTTCGGAGGTGCATATTTTTAAATTGGTCCAGCTCAACTAAATCTTAATAATATTCCGAAATATTTTGGCGGAAGTCTAAAAATGCAATAGATTTTATAATTCCGGTGGAAACCCGCAACTTTTTTTTTGGTGTGGCACCCTAATATATGTAGATATAAATTAACACATGCACATACATACATACCAATTTTGTATTAAATTTCTTGCACTTTAATTAATGATGTGTCCATTAGGTATGAAGAAGATACAAAAATTTATAAAAGCGGAAAGCATCAAGAAGATGAAAATACCAAACAGCTCATTATTGTACAAATGTATGAGCATACATATGTACGTAGATATACAGTAGTACACTTATACTTCAAAGCACTTACAGATATCGTACGGTATCATTATCTATAAAATAATGAGGAATTATGGATGCATGAAGTATCTATGTTGAGTCAAAAATCAAGCGCGCAGCGGCTTCCACTAAAATTTTCTATTTCATGTAATACTTCAAGCTTTTCAATTCAATTTCTTCAAGGGAGGCACACGAAAGTTGAAAAACGAAGTACAAGAAAAAAGCAAAAAAAAAACATCGTTAAAATATAAACAAAATATTTACAATAGGTTGCAACGTATTTACTCGTGATTGCTCCTCTTCTTCGGGTGCATTTTTCCTGCCAACAATTTCAACGGTTCGATAAACTGCGAGGCAATCTCAAACACACAAAGAGATCTTAAAATATACGTACTACCTAGAAGCAGAGTAGGGTAAAAATAACTCCACACAACGCCTTCAATTGCAATGGTTTACTTACAAACACATACATATGTATGTATGTATGCGCACTTTTATGAATTCTTATATGCATGTGGAAGGTGCATACATATATAAATTCATAATATGCACCAGTAGTTACGCCCGCAGTGCTGATGCGATTTCTCAGAAGGGGTCGCATGCTTCAGTGCCCAAAGTATGAGCCCGAAGATAGATAGGCAGAAAATAATGCAACAGCGCACAGTGATTCAAAACTGGCATTTAGTGTTCATAATTCACTGGAGCGTTCATTTTTCACTCAATTTGATTCATTTTCTTTTTTAATAGAATAAAATTCACAAGAGACCGGTTGAGTCCCGATTTTTTGAATTTTGGTTTGTTTATATTAAATTTAAATTTTTTACTGCAGAAATAGTAACAATTTTGAGGAAACCCGATTCTCCTGTTTCAACTAATAATTGTTAAATAATAAAAACTAGTTGAAAACAGTTGTAGGGTTCTCATAAAACGAT